CACTTGTGTACCTTATATGTCTCACAGGTTTCTTTTATTGATGACAGTACTTGCTTCCGCCCTGTTTCAAAAATCTATTTAATAAAGTGTCCTGCTTCTGTATTTATCTCAAAGCTTTTCGACTGATTACTTTACCTGATTCTTTTCATCTTTCCAATGCTGTGGATTAACGTAATTTTTTTTTTTTCTTGTTTGGTTCTTTGCCACAGTCCTCTCCCTAATATCTGCTCCATTGACCTTGGTTTAATCAGACTATGACTGTTGCATGACACTGGAACCAGAGGAAGGACTGACATGCTTTGATGTTGAAGAAGTTTCTCTCTGTCTCAGGTGGTGTCATTTTGCAATCATATTTATTATGTCTATCGAGCATATTTATCTTATGTTTTCAGTGTCTAGAGAACATTACAAATGACATCAGCATTATAAGACAGCAAAAGAGTCCCATTCACAAAGGAGTGGGGTGGGGGAATGAGCACGAGTAATTTTTAAAAACACATTTTAAAATGATGATAAAATACATCCTCAGCAATTTTTAAGTGTACATATAGTTCGGTGGTATTAAGTACCTTCCCACTGTTGGGCAACCATATCCATCTCAAGAACTCTTTCCATCTTGCAAAACTAAACTCTGTACCCATGAAACAATAACTCTCTGCTCCCACTCTCCCTGGCACCTGACAACTAACTACCATTTTACTTCCTCTATGAGTTTGACTCCTCTAGGTCCCTTATGTTAGTGGAATCATAAAGTATTTGCCCTTTGGTGACTGACTTATTTCACACAGCATAATGTCCTCAAAGTTCACCCACAATGCAGCATGCAACAGAATTCCCTTCCTTTTTGAGGCTGAGTAATATCCACTGTGTGGATACACCACATTTTGTTTTTCCATTCATCTGTCCATGGACACTTAGGTTGCTTCTTCCCTTTGAGTCCTGTGACCAAGGCTGCCATGAACGTGGGTGTGCAAGTATCTCTTCAGAGTGTGTGCAATTTTAAAAGGCTTAAAGTCACAGAGAAGCACAGATATAGGATGAGAACGGTGCACAAGTGCTTAAGTTTACCGTGGAGAGCACTTAGCGTCAGATGGGAGCTCTGCAGAAGAGGGAACTGTTGAGTGGCACTTTCAAGGTAGCAAGAGTTTGGAAGCAGTACTCAGGGAGGGCACTTGGCCTATTAGTATTGTGCACAGAATAATCATAAACGTTGAGAAATGAGTGACGCGGGGTGAAATGTGGGTGGGACAGTGTCTAGGCTAGAACATACAGTACTGGCCAGAATAAATGAGGAAAATGCTATGCAATTGATATAAAACATTAAACATCATGATTTTCATGTTTCTGCAAAGAAATCATGACAATGAGAAAGTGAGTTTCTTAGAACTGAAGAGCTATGCACTGGACTGTACGTCCCTTGAGGGCAGGCCTAGCCCACAACTGTGATCCAATGCCCAGCAAACAGTACTTGCACTGGCACCCAGGGGCACTCAGTAAACATCTGTCAAATACATGTATAAGTGATCTCCTCTAGGCACCTCGTGCTCATACAACTGCAAAAGATGCTTGTTGCTGATGAAGATGGGCTAAAAGAGAATGCCGTTGTGGCTGGTTTTATCTGGAGGAATTAGGGCTGGCTGGCATAGCTCTAAGAAATAACAAAGGTATTGGGTCTGAAACATATTAAAAAGGAAGAATCTGTGAGACAAAAATGCTAGAACTCATTGGCTAGGATTTTGTTTAGATCTATTGTCAATACCCAAATGTGTTAGTTTGTTCTAAGTTACTTTAATTTTCTATAACCAATGGGTATTTTAACAAGGTGTTAATTTCTTTCCCTCTGCCCTGAGTGTGTTCTCAATCACTACCTTTCTTTTGCAAGGTTCGCCTGTAGCCAATATTTTCTTATTAAGATACTTGCCATCCTAAAGGATACAGAAGCAGAAACAGACTCACAGACATAGAAAACAAACTTATGGTTACCAAAAGGGAAAGGGGTTGGGGAGGGATAAATTAGGAGTTTGGGATTAACAGATACAAACTACTCTGTATAAAATAGATAAGATAAAAAACAAGGTCCTACTGTATAGCACAGGGAACTATATTCAATATCCTGTAATAACCATAATGGAAAAGAATATGAAAAAAGAATTTTATATATATATATATTTGAATCACTTTGCTGTATACCTGAAACTAACACAACATTGTAAATCACCTATACTTCAGTTAAAAAAAAAAGGAACACAAACATGATTCTAATTAATGGATATGCTTATTTTGTTATATTAGACTAGTCTATCTTTACTTCTTCCAGGGTGGAAAAAAAAGAAACAATGCATTCATTAATTATCTTCTGTTTATACACAAACAGTAGAGGTTTTAGTTTTTTCCCCTAAATGTGATTACGTGCCAGCAATAAACGGATGTGACTGGCACTGCACTAGAATTGAATACTGGGATTTGATGGTTTTACGTGTTAAGCCAGGGAAGAAAATTTAGTCTACACTTCCATGTTGGAAACGCCCTGGCTGAAGGGACTGAGTCCACCTTGTGTATTCTCGGGCCCTAAATGGAACATGATAAATATGTTTGCTGACTATTTCTAGCACATATCATCCTCAACATGGTGTTACTGGTAATGAAATTATAAGGTTTTCCAATCCTAGACTCAGGATATAACACAAATGTTTTACAGACTCGAGGTTGCCAAGGGGGAGAGGGGTGGGGGAGGGACGGACTGGAAGTTTGGGATTAGCAGGTGCAAACTAGGATATATGAAATGGATAAACAACAAGGCCCTACTGTATAGCACAGGGAACTATATTCAATATCTTGTAATACACTATAATGGAAAAGAATATGAAGAGGAATATATACATGTATAACTGAATCACTTTGCTGTACAGAAGAAATTAATACAACATGGTAAATCAACTATACTTCAGTAAAATATATTTTAAAAAAACACTACCAAACGTAAGGTAGACAGCTAGTGGGAAGCAGCCGCATAGCACAGGGAGATCAGCTCGGTGCTTTGTGACCGCCTGGAGGGGTGCGATAGGGAGGGTGGGAGGGAGGGAGACGCAAGAGGGAAGAGATATGGAAACATATGTATGTGTATAACTGATTCACTTTGTTATAAAGCAGAAACTAACACACCATTGTAAAGCAATTGTACTCCAATAAAGATGTAAAAAAAAACCCCCAAAACAAAAAAAAAAACAGATGTTTTAGACTATAAAGATCAAAGATAGTTAATAAATATGCCATGAGAAACTGCAGTGAAATGAGGCATCACCAGCGTGGGCTGAAGGCACCAACCCTGGTCTGGCCTTCCGTGTCCGGGTAGCAGACAGCCACGCACGTGCTGAGGAGGCACCGGCCCAGGCACACAGGGGCCCCTCCAGCTACTCTCCACATTTATTATTCGGGAGCTGTGTTCTTTAGGTGTTTGTGGAAGGTCAGCGTCTAATCTGGTTCCGCCCACAGCTGCACAGTTATAGTTTTCTTCACCGCATTTGCCCTCGTTTAGTATCATTTGACATTCTCTCTGCTTGGCAGTTTTCTCTTTAATTCCTTTTGGAAAACTATTTTTTCCCTAGTTTGTCATTTTACTTAAAAAATGTGTTCTGGAGTTGTCTGCTTTTTCTGTCTTTCCTATTTGAAACACCTCCCATAAACTGCTTACTTATGAGAAAAATAATTCATTTTATCAGCATCATAAAGTGATACCTATTTTTTGAACGGTTTCTTAAAGATGACCCGGACTCATTAGTAAGTTATTTCATGGGGAATGTTCTGAGCAATCAATGATATTCTCTTGACGATACTGACTTGAGGCTGAGAGGGAAGGGAGCAGGGACAAAGGCATAACGGTCCACTTGCTGGATACAAAGAATGCAGAGAAGTGAGCGAAAGCCAGGCTCTGCCTTGGGCATCACGTAAGTGGCCTTCCTGGAACAAGCCTAGGGGAATTTGTCACCATCTTCTTGTCAACTTTCTTGGGAGCATTAGCTATCATCCTGCTTAAAGGGATCAGGCATGACCACGTGGCACCTGGAGGCCTTTTCTGGCTCTATTATTCCATAACGCTGTTGGTTTTTACATTCCTAGCTTGAATGTCATTATGTCACTGAGTCCAAGCCTCAGTTTCTGGAGGGGTATCACCTTATCTGCCTCCTTCATCAAGTTGTCTTAAAAATTATTAAACATAATGTAGGACACAGTGCTTTGAAATTAGATTATGTATAAAGACAATGTTCCCACTCTGGCATAAATCTGTGATAAACTTTCCACCATTGGTTTGTAACATTTCACTCTCAAACTTCTGAGTACCTGACTAAACCAATCTTTCTGATATTAACTTCTCACCCTCCTCATTATTATTATTATTGTTATTTTAATTATTATTTTTTTGAGACCAGAGTTCTAGTCTATTTCTTGGCCACTTTATAACTGTGGGGAAACTACAGCTGTTGGGTTTGGTTCTCCATGCATGTCCTTTTTTTCTTTTTCATTGATTTTTTTTTTTTTTTTTTTTACTGTTTCATTGCTACTCTGGGTACCTATGTTACTCAGGTAATGATGCAAACAGTGCAAATTTCCTAGGCTCCTCAAAGACACAACTGAATGAAAAACATTTCCACGTCTCATTTTTCAGCAATGGTGTTAGCGTTCAGAACACAAGTTTCACTCCTATTGATTATTTATACGTATTTTTTTGCCTCGCACGTTTGGGTAAACGTGGGGATAGATAATAGGAATCTTTGTTTACTAGGTTATATAATAATTAACTTAAGTATAACTATAAAGTTACCTTCCTGGATTGATATTGAAAAGCAAGATCTGGGTCTCAGTCTAAACTTTTTCTTCTGTGCTGGCAATTTTTCTAGTTGCAAAAGTTATTTGAAGAAGTACTCACTGCGTTTCTGGAGAATAACGATTCTTCAATATACTCACATTTCATGCTGGGTAAATTATCATCACTGTACACCCACCTTTACATGTGTTGAAACAGATTCTGGTTAAACAAATGCACAGTCCCTGGAAAGTAGCCAAAAGCTTTTCTCCTGCAGTTCCCGGTACTCCTCTTAGTTAGCCTTGTGTTAGTTTTCTATCCTGTTTTACAAACACAAATACAAGTTATAAGACACTGTTCGGGAATCCCAGCATCAGAATTAAGTCATGTGTATTGTTAGTTGGTTATAAAAGAGCAATTATTATTATTATCATTTTTTTAACTTCTTTATTGGAGTAGAATTGCTTTACAGTGGTGTGTTAGTTTCTGCTTTAGAATCTTTGCTGGGACGAAGAGCAATTATTAATACTTAATTGTGTTGGTGACGGTGTCATAATTTTTGAACGGCATTATAATGTAGTGGATTAGATTTCTATCCAGAAATACTTCCATTAATGTTTCTCCTCTATTACTTTGCGAATGTTCAAAGAGCAGTTTTAGAAAACTGTATTCTGATTTTGGAATTTAAAGATTCTGTTCTTAGCCTTCAATAAAGCAGTTTCAAATCTGCCCCTTTTGCATTCCACAAGGAAGTGAGCCCTGGTGTGCATGTCGAGGGCACATCGACACGTGCCCTCGACATGTCTGGGAGACAGCACGCATAAGGCCTGGGGCCCATCCGCACCCCTCTGCCCTTCATCACTGACACTCCCTTGGCTCCTGGCTCTTGGTTTCTATTTCCCGCCCAGCACCAGGTAGTGCAGAATGGAAGTGAGTGTCATCAGAACGTGCACCAGAATCTGGGAATATCTTGATAACTGATGTGAGTGGAGAGTCGCTTCAAGACCAGCAAGGACTCCAAGTAAAGGCATCAGAGGGCCTTCACTGCCCTGTTTCCTTGGAGACAGATCAGATCGCTCCACATACTAAAGTAGATTAACTGGCGTAGAGGATGGGACTTGCTGTTGCCCATTAGATCAAGCAGAGATCAGTGTGTATGTGACTGATTACAGACCCTAACCACAGTATCACTGAAAGAGTTGGCCGACTTTATCCTACACAATGGACACACCATGAAGTAAATAAGGCGGCTTGAATTTTAACAACAGCTGAACTACAGATGCTTCCCTCTGATTTGGGAGCACCACCTAACCTATTACGTCAGAACATGCAGCTCTTTCTGCTGTTCACCTCCTTGGATGGTCTGCAGGCACATCAGAAGACAGAAATAAGCCCACAAAAATCACCATGGGTCATGACGTTTCTAGTTTGCCTTCAGTTTAACGATGCAAGAGAATGTAAGGAGAGAAGAGAAGAAATCTCATTCAATGCCTCTGTTGTGTGAGTCCCTAATGAACAATATACACATCTAGCTGTGGCCATTTTAAAATGGCTATAGTTTTTTTTTTTTTTTTTTTGGCGGTACGCGGGCCTCTCACTGTTGTGGCCTCTCCCGTTGCGGAGCACAGGCTCCGGTCGCGCAGGCTCAGCGGCCATGGCTCACGGGCCCAGCCGCTCCGCGGCATGTGGGATCTTCCCGGACCGGGGCACGAACCCGTGTCCCCTGCACCGGCAGGTGGACTCTCAACCACTGTGCCACCAGGGAAGCCTGGCTATAGCTTTAGTGTGAGATTGTTTAAAGAAATACAAAATTGCCCCTGAAATGTAAAGCAGAAAAAGCACAACTTTTGGCCACTTGTTTTGCTGTCTCTCTTGAAGATCTGTGAGGTATCTTCCTATTTACTGTGCTGTAGAACTACTGGTTCTTCTGGGCTTGGGGATTCAAAAATGGATTATCTGAACACCCTGGAGGTCTTGCCCACCTGATGAACATGGGGTGCAGCCTCGCCCGTGTCCTGGATGCCCCATGAGCACAGGGGCAGGTAGCTGTCTCTGGGGAAGCCCCTGAGACTGTGTCTAGAAATGAACTGTGAAAAGGGTGTGGACCAGGGTCAGAAGGGAGCAGGGGACCCCAGATCAGTCACACAGCCTCTTCATTTATGAGAACCAGAGGATGACTGGCAGGGCAAAACAGCTCTTAGACACCTCTAGCCTGCTCTGCACTTCAAGCTTTACTGTAAACAGCACATTAACAGGATGATGGTATTCTGATTTAGCAGCCTGACATATGTCAGAGCTCACGGTAACAGGGCTTCAGTGAGATTTTTTCCACACACGTTTCTTCAATGAACATTTCCACATAGAAATCCTTGCCACAGTCATCTTAATGACTTTAATCTTCACACTTATCTTTTCTACAGGCTTTTGTACGTGCATTTCACTTTCCAGTCAACTTTCCCTGATCCTTTAAATGCGTATATATGCAGCTCGATGCCTTTAACTATCTTTCTCAACATGGCCAGAAAACAGTAGAAAATTGAGGTCAAATGCAGGCTGAGCTAGGAAGGGACTGTAGATCTATCTGTTTGCTACTCTTCTCCCTCCGAAGGAACCACAGGTCCCAAGATGATAGCTGATCTCTAGAAATATTAGAAATGTAACTGTGGAAAGTGTTGACCCAAACCCTTCCTATGCGTATGATGAAGTAACTGACCACGTGCCTCTCAGAGGGGTCCTAAGATGCACACCTGCAACCGTGGGATCCGTGCCCACCAGCCTCCGTTATTCCAGGTGACACTGGTTAGAGGGCAGGGAGGGCAGATCTCCCAGAGGGGCACTGCTGCTCAGCCTGGCCACGGGCTCCGGTCAGGAAGGTGCGCTAAGTGGTGGGTGGCAGAGAGGATGACTGACATCCCTATAACATGAGGTGCTCTCAGGAGCACAGAGGACCCTGGCCATTGGGGGTCTGGCCATATGCATGACGCAGGACTGTGGCTCTCAGTCAACCGACTACATGTGAGGCAGGACTCTAGGACAAGAGGGACACGTACATTTGATTTAATAACTGGAAACCAAGGGGTTGCCAGGGGGTGGGAGGAGCACAGGAAGGGCGAGAGTGAATATCATTTACTATGATGTGTGCTGTAAGCTGAAATGTGTATCCACGCTGCCCCCCCCCGCCCCCATTCTTACATTGAAGCCCTAACCCCCAAAGTGACCATATTTGGAGACAGTACATTTAAAGAGGTAATTAAAGTTAGATAAGGTCATAAGGGTAGGCCCCTAATACAGAAGGGACACAAGGGATCTCTCTCTAGGCATGCGCAGAGGAAAGAGCAGTGAGGATAGAATGAGCAGGTAGCCACCTGCAAACCAGGAAGAGAGATCTCACCCGAGACCAACTCTGTTGGCATCTTGATTTTGAACTTGTCCTCCTGAGACATGTGAGAGAATACATGACTGTAGCCTAAGCCACCCAGTCTGTGGTGGCCAACAGAGTAGACAGAGACAGTGTGGCAGACACCGCAGGTACTATTAATTCATTTAATTCTCAAAACCTCTGTGTGAAGCGGGCTTTATTATCTCCGTTTTATGCATGCAGAAACAGGCTCAGAAAAAGAAAGCCATGTCTCTAATGCTCCATGGCAAGTAAGTGTCTCTTGACATTTGAACAGGGAAGGGGCACAGTAACAGCGGAGCTCGTTTTTTGACTGAATTGCAGTTCCCTGAGTCCGGAGAGGAGGGATCTCTTTATGATTTAAAGATCTGAGCTGAGAAATTGGTGCAAGCTTGTGGAAGCCAGTGGGTGGAGTAGTGGGTTTGTCGGGGGTGAGGGTGGAGGTTGTGCATGTGAGTGCTTATGTGTTAGGGGGAGGCATCAGCTGGGAAGAGCTGGGGGAAAGTTTGAAAGACTCTAGGTGGTCCCAAGGACCCAGGGGGAGCTCTGGCCCATGACGATTTCAGTGGGGCTGTGTCCTATCTTGAAAATTTCGGCAGTTCTGGGGAGGGGACCGTTAGAGAATATGACTCACATCAAACTGACTGAGAAACCCCTGTTAGGAAGGGGAAGGTAAGGAGATAAAGGCGGTTGTGCAAAGACTCAGGGAAGGAGACCTTGAACGAAGAGCTAGCCTGGATTTAAGTAGGTCTTCAGGATTGAACAGGGAGCTTCCGGGATGGGCATTCCTGGCTCCCTAGAGAGGGTCACGAGTGCAGCGAACTCTCTATGTCCAAGTATTCTGCAAAGCTTTTGGCATACATCAGCTCATCTATCCTCACAAGTGCTTTTTGAAACCAGTACTAATATCCCTAAGTTTACAGATAAAGAAAGTGAGGCACAGAGAGGCTGGATGTAGTTTCTCAGGTCACACAGCCAATAAAGGGGCCAAGGTTTGAGCCCAGGTGGACTCACTCCCCTGTTCTTAACCACTAAATTCCACCTCCCGGTGACTTCCTGAAGAAATCCACCTTGCTCTGTACTTCCTGGACCAGGAGAGGGGCAGGCAGGCACGGCCAGCAAAGTTCTGAGCCTGGTATCCAAAAGGCTGACATTGACTCTTTTTCTTCCTCCACCTGTGTCTCAGTTTGCCTTCCTTCAAACAGTGTCATTCACTATAGATCTTACTTATAGACTCTCCGTGGGATTAGTGAGGCAGTTCTTGGAAGTTATTAATAATTCTGCTCAGGAAAACAGGATTATGTGGATTAAAAAAAAAAAAAAAGGAGCATTCCTGCTGGAGTAGTAAAGCAAGACTGTATTAGGAAAGACCATCTCTTTGAAGCAAGGCAAACACATTCCCTTAGCCTGAATCAGCTTCATGGGAATGGGTAGAAGCAGACATCAATCATACTGACGTGCGGCCTTTTCTGCCTTCTAGAAGTTTCTCTGCAGCCCTGTGGCTCTGCCAGCTATGAGAGCATCCAGATGGCATTAACTGGTGGGTGAATCCTCTGGATATACAACACTGGGAGGAGAGTCTGAGGGGAGAAAGCTGACTAGAAGCCTGGCTTTGTTTTTTTTGTTGTTGTCGTTTCTCTTTTCTTTTTTTTTTTAATAATTAATTTATTGGTTTATTTTCGGCTGCATTGGGTCTTCGTTGCTGTGCATGGGCTTTCTCTAGTTGCGGTGAGTGGGGACTACTCTTCGTTGTGGTGCGCAGGCTTCTCACTGCAGTGGCTTCTCTTGCTGCGGAGCACGGGCTCTAGGTGCATGGGCTTCGGTAGTTGTGGCACGGAGGCTCAGTAGTTGTGGCTCGTGGGCTCTAGAGCGCCAGGCTCAGTAGTTGGGGTGCATAGGCTTAGCTGCCCTGCAGCACGTGGG